CCCAGGTATTTGCCTAGGAATATCCTCTGCTGATTCTGTGTTCTCAGCTCCCTGCATCTACAGGCCAGGATGGTACCTTTTTCTATACCTTCTGAAAGGAATAGCTCAAAGAAATAGGCATAGAATAGAAACAGACTAGCAGGAAAAAAGAAGAAAAGAAAACAAAACAAATATCCATCCCTCCAATGCAATATTTCTAGAACCATTAGAGTACTATTGATCTAGTTTCATGGATAACATAACATATTTTACTATAGCAGATTTTTAATAGAACAAAATGACCATAGGACTCTTTTTTCAGAACATATGCTCATTGTCATGAAACATGTGATCAGTTTATGGTTAAAATTCTGAGTGTCCCTCACATAAAAGAATGTCTTATGAAAATCTTAGCATAGATTCTGACACAGTGTAGGGGCTTAATAAATATTTATTTGAATGAAGAAATTATTCAAATTCACCCTCTCCCTCCAAAAATCACCATCTCCACTAGTTATATTAATGGGTCGCCTTTGAAATCAGGGCTGGCAATTGTACAGACAGTCCTTATAAGCACTTTTCCATTTTCTACCTTTGGGAGTTGAGGGTCAAACACCAATCAACTGAATCCTATCTGATTGAAAGCATAGTTACTGGTCGGGCTCAGTGTCTGGGCTTCTACTGAGATGAAATTTTAATCAGCCCATTGATTGAATTTTGAAACAGTCTCTTTTTGTATATAAAAGCTATTAAAGTACACTTAAAATCCCATGGCTTACACATTTTACTCTGAATGCCCTCCCAATCAAATGTTGGAATAGACTTGGTTTAAGTCAAATTAATATTTTGTTCATATTTGGAAAGATAAATGATAATATGTTAAGACTGAAAAATAGCAAAGTAGCATGGGGTGCTGACTCCCTCCCCCAAATCTATCCTGGGTGGAGACACCACAGAAGAGAAAGGAGACTGAGGTTGGAAGACCACAGAGCCATGCTCAGAAGCTAGTGTGGTGGAGTGTGGTCTGGAGTGGGAGATGGAAAAAAGCACTGGATTCCCTCCTCCTTATTCCCTTTCCCCTTTCCTGCACTTTCCTGGGGAGATCATTTCTTGGGGAGCATCAGTGCCCACTGGAATAAGAAACATGGCAGAGAGGCAGGCAGGCTGGCAGGAGTCTGAGCACCTCTCCCTCCCACCCATCTGTGCCCACCTTCCCTAGAACAGTAGTCCAGGGAGATTCTCTGGTAGATCAATGATGCCAAAAGTAGGGGAAACAGGGAATGGTTGAGCATGAATGCAATACCAGAGTCTGTTCACCTGCAGGAGCAGCCCACCTGTATTAGCCTGCTTCTTTTGCTTATAACAAAATACCTGAAACTGGGTGATTCATAAAGAAAATAAAAGTTATTGCTTACAGTTTTGGAGGCTGGGAAGTCCAAAGTCCAGGGAATACATCTGGTTAGGGTCTTGGTGGTGGCAATAGTGATGGCAGAGTATCACATTGCAAAACTGGGGGAGCAGAGAGAGCAAGGTCCTCATGCACTCTCCTTTTAAAGCCCTCCAAATTATTGGGCCAGCCCGGTGGTGCACTGCTACAGGGCCACGCTTGGGAGCGTGACGGCGCTCCCGCCGAGGGTTCGGATCCCACATACAGACCGGCCGCTCACTGGCTGAGCGAGGTGCGGGCCCAACACCAAGGATTGCGGTCCCGTTGCCGGTCCTGGTCCGGTACCGGTGCGACACTGAGGGTTGCGATCCGTTGCCGGTCACGAAAAAAGACAAAAAGGGGGAAAAAAAAAAAAGCCCTCCAAATTATGTCCATGGCCACCATTTTTAATTCATTCAATAAGGCATGGTCTACAATCTAATCACCTCTTCAAGCTCCACCTTTCAATGACCATAATAGGATTTCCCACAATCTTAACACTGTCACAGTAGGAGTCAAGTTTTGGGGGGACATTCAATCCAAGGCACCACCCCCCAAAACTAAACTAGCCTGGAAAGCACAAGCAAGGCTTTCTTTCTTTCTTTTTTTTTTCTTTCCCTCCCTGAACAGCCCCCAGGCTCTCTTTTGTGTGTGTGTGTGTTCTTTTTTGTTTTGTTTATTTTTTCATTGAAACATAATTGATCGTACATATTTGTGGGATACAGCGTTGAATATCAATACCTGTGTGCACTATATGACTTTCAAATCAGGATAATTAGTATATTCAAATTGCACAATGTAATCATATTTTGTGGCCCTTTACCAATTTCTTGACAAGCAAGGTTTTCTCCCTTATTACCACAAAGGCAAACAGTGGGAGCCAATGAAGTTGAGAGTCCCAGTGGAGCAATAGATGAACTCACAGAGTAAAGTGACAAAACAACTGTTCCAGAGAAAGCAAATATAATGGGAAAGACAGGACATGAATCTAAAATGAGCATATATTGGGCATCTGCAAGAGGAATAAGTAACTATGAAGATTAAAGTATTGAAAATTATAAACAGAAAAATATAATTTTCCCAGTAAAGGATTCACTGGGTAGATTAAATATCAGAATGGATATAGATGGAGAAAGATTTAGTGAACTGGAAGATCAAGTCAAGGAAATCTCAAAGAAAGCATCAGAAAAGGAAAGGATGAGAGAGAAGTTAAATGGTATAGAAGAGAAAAGTAAAGCTATCACTATCTGCGTAATAGGAGTCCCCAAATGAGAGAAAAAGGGAAATAGGGAGGAAAATATTTGAAGAAGTAATTTTCTAGAATTAGGGAAAGATAGAATGCTTCAGATTGAAAAGTCTCATCCAGTGCTAAACAAGATCAAAAACCATGGGGAAAAAATAATGATGCTGAGCAAATAAAGCTAGGTACACACACAACTGTTGGGAAAAAACCCACAATTAGACATATTGTAGTGAAATGTAAGAACATCAAAACCAAAGAGAAAATTCTAAAATCTTTCAGAGAGAAAAAGCAGATCGCTGTGAGGATTCTTGATAGCGGTGAACAAATGTCTTCAAAACAGTGAAGATAAGGAACTTTGAACCTTAACATTTGTAAGCAGCCAATCTTTATTCAAATGTGAGTGCAACATGAAAATATTAAGCATTCTGGGTCTAAGGAAAACTTATGCCACAACTTTATGCCTCTTTGAAAGAATTCTTGGGGGATACACTTCAAGAAAGGAAATGCAGAAAGAAGTAATAAGATGTTAGGAAATAAAAAAGAAATAAAGTAGTAATACATGATACAACATGATGAATCTTGAAAACACTATGCGAAGTAAAAGAAACTAGTCACAAAAGGCCACATATTATATGATTCTATTTATATGAAATATCCCAAACTGGAAAATCCAGAGACATAAAGTTGATTACGATTGCCAGAGGCTGAGGTGGGTAGATGTGCAATGTCTACTAATGGATATGGGGTTTCTTTTGAGGCGTGATGAAAATGTTCTGGAATTAGATAGTGGTGATGGCTTGCAACTTTGTGAATATATTAAAAACCACTGAATTTGTGCACTTTAAAAACAATTTTTAAATAAACTAGAAAGGGCCGGCTCGGTGGCACACTGCTACAGTGCACCGCTTGGGAGTGCGGCGGCACTCCCGCCGAGGGTTTGGATCCCACATACAGACCGGCGGCTCACTGGCTGAGCGAGGTGCGGGTGCAACACCGAGGGTTGCGATCCCGTTGCTGGTCCCGGTCCAGTACGGGCGCGACACTGAGGGTTGCGATCCGTTGCCGGTCACAAAAAAAGACAAAAAGGAAAAACAAATAAACAAATAAATAAACTAGAAAAAAGATATTAGGAAAATCAATTTTAAAAAGTAAATAGTTGGGGCCGGCCTGGTGGCGCACTGCTACAGTGCGCCGCTTGGGAGCACGGCGGCGCTCCCGCCGAGGGTTCGGATCCCACATACAGACCGGCCGTTCACAGGCTGAGCGAGGTGTGGGCGCAACACTGAGGGTTGCGATCCCCTTGCTGGTCCCGGTCCGGTACGGGCGCGACACTGAGGGTTGCGATCCGTTGCCAGTCACGAAAAAAGACAAAAAGGAAAAAAAAAAAAGTAAATAGTGATTCTTTCCTCTACCTCCCCTCCCCCACCAAAAATATCTATAACGTTTCAGATTTAAAACTCTAGACAACAGCAACATGCCAGGAAGAACAGGTGAAAGAAAAGAAAGAGACCAGAAAACATACTGTGGTAGATTGGATGCCCCGAAACCTCATCTGAGCTTAAGTCCCGACTGTAACTGTTGAGGGTGGGAAATCCTATTACAGGAATTGAAAGTTCAGACCTTTAAGAGGTGATTAGATTGTAGGACCCTTCCCTAGTGAATGGATTAATAATGGTGGGCATGGGCATGGTTCTGAGGGCTTAAAAGGAGAGTGCATGAGAGGTGAGTCTTGCTGCTCTGCCATTTTCTGCCACATGAGACCCTTGGGTCACTGTCACAACCACCAAAACCTTCACCAAATGTGTTTCCTGGACTTTGGACTTCCCAGCCTCTGAAACTGTAAGCAATAGATTTTGTTTTCCTTATAAATTACCCAGTTCCAGGTATTTTATTATAAGCAACAGAAACAGACTAATACACATACTAAGAGTTTTTTCTTGTTCCAGAGGAAGACATAGATATGTACAGTATAAGCTATAAGCATTGATAGGGAAAAATAAACATAAGTGGAAATCTAAATAAAGCTGGAGGTAACCACCAGAGAAATATAAATATCTAGTATAATTGTGCCCAGGCATTTTTTACATAATACAACAAATATTATTTTTTGATAAATTATTTTCCTTTTATATATGTCCTTTTTATATGAATTTAATATCATATATAAATAAAATATATAGTACTATATATAAAAATAAAAAATATATATAAAATATATTTTGTACTTATTATATATAAATATTTTATATTTTTCTGTTTATATATTTATATAAAATATATTCATAAATGCACTCTATATTTAAGATGCACTATATTGTGTACCTTTTAAATTATATTTGAAGATGTGTTCTATTTTTTTTTTTTAAAGCATCATTTAAAACCACTTCCTTTAATATACAAGAAACACATAAGACACAAAGAAAGTCCAATAAAGCTCTCAGTCCCAGAGTTGGCAGTTTAGGAGGAGTCAAAGAAAAATAAATCTCTCCTAGTCTTCCTGGGAAAGAAGGGGTGAGAGGACACAGAATATCAGCAGGCCCTGGGTGAGTCCAGTGCTAGGGCCATGCAGGGTCTAGTTCTCTACCAAAGGAAAGTGCTGATTTTCCTTGTCGTGGTCCTGGCTTTGCTCCCATGCTCGTTCTCCAGTTTTCAGAAGTCGTCCAGTTCCTTCCTTTAGTTCCCTAACATTTTCACTTAGAGGAGAAGGCCGCTTACCCTGTCTTGGTGTCAGGGCCCCGGGTGAGTTGTCATCCTGCAGGATGGTGAGGGGGGATCTCCCTGGTACCTTGCCGTTTGGTTTCCATCTATTGCGCTTAGAACCTAGAGCAGATAAGGAGTTACAGCAAGAACCCAAAATTAGGGGCTTACAGTTTATTCCTCCCACACTCATCCACGGACATTATCCCAGAACATTATTCCAGTTTCTCTTCCCTATATCTTGCTAGATTTTGTACCTGAAGATCGGGGACTCTCAGGGTCTCTCAAGGGCTTGTCTGAGCTCTGGCTGGCCACAGGGGTTTCTGTGAGCTGTCTTATTTCTTCCTTGGAAAACACCTGTTTGGAGGGGAGCTCACTCTGGTTCCCAGGTGTTGTCTGGTCCTCAACGGATAACTGGGTACCCAGAGGCAAGTCCAATTCAGAAGATGAAGGTGCCCGCAGGGGCAGAACAGGCTCAGGAGTAAGATTCGATTTGGAGGCTGCAGTCTCAAATACTTCATTCAGCTGTTTCGCCAGTGGGCTAGGAGGATCTCCGCTGCTGGTCTTCATAGGTGTCTGTGCAATGCCAAGGGTAGGAGAGCGGGGATCTGAGTCCTGGGCCTGTTTAGGACCCTCTAGTTGTTCCCCTGCTGGTAGGCTTGGCTGTGGAGAGCTCTCCACCTGGATGGGAGTGCGCAGGATGCCGGCACTAGGTGAACGGGGATCCTCCACTCGAGCCAGATGCTTGTTGTACGGCGGAGGCCGCGCCAGGGTGACTGGGACGCTCTTGGCCGAACCCATGTCAACCAGGAGGGGAGGGTGGGGGGCAGGGCCCGGCCCGGGGCGAGGAGGTGATGCCGGGCCCCGATTCCTTTGCGTGCACAGCAGCTCGAGGATCAACCTCCCAAGATGTGTTCTATTTTTTATGAACTTCATATCAAGGTAGTAAATGGAGCATTACGAACTTTTTTTTTTTTTTTTTAGGAGCTCTGTATTTCATGGAGCTGAGGATATTGCCTTACTAACTGGCATTTTCCCTGTTTATTTCTCTGTTCATTTTTTATTTGCTTGTTTTCCACCACTAGAGTGCAAGTTCCATGGGGGGACATGGACATTGCCTGCCTTGTGATCTGCCCTATCCCAAATGCCCAGAAGGGTGCCGGGCACACAGGAGGCACTCAAGTCAACATCTGTTCTACCCTCCACACACAGGTCTATGTGTCTACAGGGCTAAGACAGCTTCTCCCACAGAGCCAGGCCAGTTTAGCTCAAACCCCCACAAATTAAAGATGAAGGGATTGAAAGTGTTTTAATTCAAAGAGTTCTGGCAGCCATAGTCCTTCAACAAAATGTAACAAGGAGGTGGTAGTCCCTCCCTAAAAATTTGCAATGTAGAAAAAAACACTTTGGAAGCAGCGGTTGCTACGGGAGCTATGGGCTTCACCAGCTGTATTAGTCCATTTCTGCTGCTTATAACAAAATACTTGGAACTGGGTACTTTGTAAAACAACAAAATTTATTGGTTACAGTTTCAGAGGCTGGGAAGTCCAAAGTCCAAGGAACACATCTCGTGGGGGTCTTCTTTGGTTGTGGCTCTACAGCAATGCAGGGATGTCACATGGCAGAAAAATGGTAGAACAGAGAGACACAGACTCTCACATGCTCTCCTTTTCAAGCCCTCAGAACCACACCTCTGACCACCATTATTAATCCATTTATTAGGACATGGTCCTCAGAATCTAATGACCTCTTCAAGGCCCCACCTTTCAATTGCCATGATAAGATTTCCCACCCTCTTAACAGTTTCACAGTGGGGAGCAAGCCTCCAATGCACTAAACTTTGGGGAGACACAATTCATCCATAATACCCACTTTGCACTTTGGATAATACCCAGAGCAGCCTTTTCCCTGTAAGCACTGTCCCTCTGCTGCAGAAGGTGCATCCAGATGCCCCCAAGTCCCACCCCAACCTATCCACATAAAAACTCCCATCAAAACCCTACTGAGAGGGTTAGAGCCTTGGAGCCCAATAGATCAGCAGATCACGGGGAGGGGACTCAGATAAATCACAGCCTCTGGGGACTGAGCAGTGGTGCTTTACCAGCAACTGAAACCATAGAAGATGGCCTTGGTTACACATGATGACAATGACTCCTTCCTAGGACTTGCTATAGATGAATGAGAAAACATATTTGAAGTGCCCGATGCTGCCTGCACATTGTCAGCAATCAATAAACAGCTGATAAATGGATAAAGAATGAATGTGCCTAGTTCAGTGTCTGAGTTGTGGTTGTCATTCGATTGAAGGCAGCTCTTAGAAGAAGAGAGAAACAGGGGTTCAAGGGCGGAGAGTCAGAAACAGCAAGAGACTGCTGAGGGTTCTCTGCACCATCCATGAAAATTAATTTGTATAAAATAAATTTATTTGGGACATTAAATTTAAATGCCTTTATTTGATAAAGTGGTTCCCTACTTGATAAAACATTCACTGTAAAATTACTTTAAAAACTAAATCCTTTCCAAACTGTCATTCCACACATCACACATTTATTTATACCCTACAAATCTATTGTTTGGAGTGAGTCACATCTGTATTAATATTTTAAATATTTTAATAATATGAAAAATGGTGAATAAATGCTTACTACTTCACTGAGGGAAATGAGAAGAAATTACCTTAATTATAGTAGGAAGGGCTTGATCTAGGCATGAGGAAAAGCATATCTATATTAAGTGCACTCATGAACACAAAGAAATTCCTGATTAAATTTGTCATGTGAATACCTTCACATAAATCATTAAAGACATCAAAGCAGCCCTCTGACTTTAGCAGACTACTTTGGAATCAAGGGAGTCAATTAGTGGAGATCCCTTGATATCCACAATTTTTATATTTTATAAATGCATGTCCAATCTGGTTATTGCAAATTTTTAGAACTGAAAGGAAGCTGAGTGGTCGTTTTATATGATCCTGTCATTTCCACAAGTGGAATCTGAGACCCCAAGAGGTTGAGCTGATTTGCCAAAGGTTGCAGAGCTAGTTGACCATGCACTTAGGACTGGAAATCAATTCCTTCCAACATCCTTTTAACGTGCTTTCTACCACAGTGTGCTATTAACCACCTTTTTATTCTCTTTCATTGCTGTTCTTTTAAGTCTTTATTCTCTCGGATACATCCTCTATAATAAATCCAAATTGAACCCCAAACATCTTTCCTTTTTGAGATTTATTGCTCAGTGTCAATGGTCCACCAGGACTCAATACATTTTTCATTTTTCTTTGTTGAGACCATAATCTTACTGGGTAAGGAATGTCTTTCCTCCAATATTACATCTGATGGAAAATAGACTCAACATGTTTAATAACAATATTCATGATATTCTATTCTAGTAATGAGGTGTTGTAGGTGTAACTTACAACTTTTACCATTGAAACCATAATTTTTAGAAATGGGAAGAGTAGTGTGGGAAAATATCCTCACAACTGGTGAAAAATCACGTTTTCGCAGGGTTTGCAAACAGGGAAATATTTGTGGTTTTGTCTCATATGTTTTGCTTTTTTTGGCAAAAGCGAAAGGCAGTTTTCTTTGCAATGAAAACGGCCTTTCGTTTTCGCCAATGCTTCACATCCATTTTTGCCAAGCAAAAAGCTGTTTTCCCAGGAGAAAACAGCTCAAGCTGAAATAAAAGTGAAGCACAATTTGTAAAATTCCCCTCTTTAAAAACAAAGATCACTACACTCAATGCAAATGCCATCTGGGTGGCCTTGCATGGAGAAAGACGATGGGGGAATCCTGGTTAAAACATACATGCAAACAAGCTTATCTAGGAGATAGAAAAATAAGTCCAAAGTCACATGGGTGGCAGTTTTTAAATCATGCCCAGAATTAAAGACTCCAGTCTTCACCTCTGTGATGCATACGTGCCTCAAGAACAACTCTTCAAATGCTGCTTATTAGTTTCCTTTATGTCATTTACTCTGATGGAGTCTGTATTGATAAAGTTTTTTCCATCTTATTGTTATACCGTGATCCATCCTGATACTCAACAAAATCCTGTAAATTAGAAAAAATAGGCATAATCTCTATTTTTCGTAAGTTCATCAGACATTTAATGGAGAAGAAAGTGGGCTGCTCATGTGACTCGCTTAGACAAGGAGATGGAAGCTCATCAGAGTTACTTTGGCAAGGCAACTCAATGCCAGAATCCGGACTAGAACCCGGGTGTTCTGATTTCTTGTTCCTTGGGCTTTAACCTGATGCTCTTTCTCATAAGTTCTGATCAGAATTTCCAGATGTGGTCATAAATTTGTTTTTATTTTTGTTCTTTTTTTTTTTTTTTTTTTTTTTTTGGGGGCGTTTGAAATGCCATAACATATTCTTCAGCAGGTCATCTCTGCTGTTAGAAAGGTAACTGCTGTAGAAAATTTTAGTTCTGAAAAAAATCAGAAGTTTCCAATAGCCATGCCAATTGCAAAGAAATGACAGAGCAACTGTCACCCTTAGAGAAGTGGACCATTCGTTACATAGAAAAATAAAAAGATTGAAACCAGTTTCGATTAATAGCAATATTTAATGAGCGATTCTTTGAGACAGCCACTAGGAACATTTTTAATTCCATGTATTAAAACAAAAGCGGTAACCAGACTGCAAAATGACCCTCAAGTTCTTAATTTGTTTAAAATAAGATTTTTTGTTCTAAATTTCTACGCTTATCAGAATTATTGTTTTATAATTCATTATTTCACAATCAAGCAGCCACAAAAGATAATAGCAAGTATTTTGCATAATCTCAGTCTGGATTTTAGACATTCAGGTAAGTCTTCTTAGTGTGCCACAGATATACCTCCACTTTGCTCCCCTAATCTGTCTCAGTCCCAGCCATCCTTTTTGAATAAGAGCTCAAGCCACACCTCCTTAGAGAGTATCAGACTTCTCTGATCTCCCACCTTTCCAGAATTCACCATGCATTCTAGTCTGCACTACAAAATTTACCACTTATGCTACAGAACTGTGCCCTTAAAAACGGTAAAGTTTTATGGTAAATTTGATATGTACGTTTACCACCACAACAACAAAAAATTAGGAAAAAAGTTTGGGTTTATTTTAACCAAGGACATGTTCAAATCCACAGAGCTTTTTAAAAAAAAAAAAAAAAAAGCATTTATCTAATTTTTCTCCTGAAAAAAAGTTGCCACTTAACTGAATATTGCTTGGATTGTTTCACATGTGTACATTATTAAGTCTTTCTAACTAGATCGATTGTAAGCTCCCTGACATCCCTGACAGCTTGAACCACGGCTAAACCTTTTCTAAGTCCCTCTCAAGACTCATCATATGACTTATGCTATAATACAGCGATAATAAATCAATAATTATTATAGTCATAATGATGAGACTTGAGAGGGATTTATGCTATGATACAGCAGATAATAAATGAATAATTATTGATTGATTAAGAAGGATTTTCATGTAGTAAAACACACCTCAATTTGATGCTTCCCTAAAGTTTTAAATAAATAAGGGGAAGACAGCCTCGTAGACAGTTACAAAAATCTCACCTTATCAAATATTATCTCAAAACTCTCAATTAATACTATTTAATCACTTTATCCTTTATCCATCATTATCCTTCAGATTTGCAAGGAGGAAATTTCACAGAAGCCAAAAAGGACCATACCCAGCAATTGGCCATAACTAACACAGATACCTTGGACAGCGCCTTGGCCCGTAGTGTGATTGGCCACTCATTGGATTGACTGAGTGGGATATTTGATTCAACGAGCCTTCAGAAAGCAAACAACCAGGGAAAGAGGAGTGGGCAGGGCTGGGAGAAGCCTGAAAGATAGCAGACAGTGGTACTCAATTAGTGCATTAGTGCACTTCAGAACCCCCTAGGGCACCAC